GGTCCAGACCCAAAACGTCAGCCTTCCTGCTCCTCTGATGCTGTTTGGCCTGCTGTGTTACTCCAGCTCTACACCTTGTTACCTTATTTCAAAGAATCCCTACAGTGTGGATGCAGGCCATTCGGCCCATCAACTCCATGCTGACCCTGTGCAGGGCGTCCTACCCCAGACCCATCCTGATAACCCTGTATTCCCAATGGCTAATCCACCTAGCCTGCACATCCCTGGACACTACACGTAATTTTCCATGGCCAATCCACCCTAACCTGCACATCTGTGGACTGTGGGAGGAAACCGGAGCACCCGGAGGAAACCCACGCAGACACGGGCAGCCGAGTGTGGAATCAAATCTGGGTCCTTGGCACAGTAAGGCAGTAACGCTAACAACTGAGCCACAATCTTATTTCTGACCAGTAACGCCTTGTCAAATTTCACAAAAAGGGGACAATCGAAGGCAAATGGGGAATCATCTCTTTCGTCCTGAAAGCAAAATCCCGGTAGTTGAAGCTTGCCTGTCTGTAGTCAGTATGCCAGTGCCTGAGTTGAGGAGCGTGCGGGACGTCCACTCCCCAAAGAGTTTCTTCTCCGCCTGGAAGGGTTAGACCTTGAATATTACCAACCCTCAGGCTCCCACTGCCTGCTCCATCCTTAAACTTTCTGCCACCTCTCAGAATTGATTCCCATGGCTCTGACGTTAAGGAGCTCAACACCAACAATATTGAAGCAAAGAACGTTTCTAAAAACCTGAATTTCATTAGCACTTTCCGCAATGTCAGGACAGCAAATATCGAGCACAGGAATTGGAGACAGTCATGTTGCAGGGTATGGGGCACTGGGGAGACCACTTTTAGAATACTGCTTAGAGGGGGTGCCCTTACAGAGGTTTATAAAATCATGAGAGGTGTAGATAAGTGAATAGACAAGGTCTTTTTCCCAGGGTGGGGGAGTCTAAAACTAGAGGGTATAGGTTTGAGGTGAGAGGGGAAAGATTTAAAAAGGACCTGAGGGGCAACTTTTTCATGCAGAGGGTGGTGTGTGTATGGAATGAGCAGTCAGAGGAATTGGTGGAGGCTGGTACAATTACAACATTTAAAAGGCACATGGATGGGTAGATGAATAGGAAGGGTTTAAGAGGGGCCAAATGGAAATGCTGGTAAATGGGACGAGGTCAGATTGGAATATCTGGTCAGCATGGACAAGTTGGACCGAAGGGTCTGTTATCATGCTGTATGACTCTATGCTAATCTGAGAACTAGGTTTGACCATTAATGTTCACCCATTTCCTGATACATTGCTATGCCAAAGATGATCCACACAATCAGCAGCCTTTTCTTCTGATGTAAACCTTAGTGGCCCTTTCTCAAAACTAAACCCTTGCTCCTGAGTGCAAGACAAAAAAATCTCAACCGCATATGCTCCTTCAGCAATGTTTAATATATAATCAGGAAAAGCAAGGGTCTCAAAACTGACCCCATGGGGAATTCCATCACAAATCTTTCCAAGCCTAAAAATACTCATTTTCAATTAGTGTCTGTTTCCTGTCACTCAGCCAATTTCACATCTGCGTTGCTATCGTTCTTCTAATCCCGTGAGCACCAAACCTCAGCTGAGTGTATAATGGCCAGAATATCTGTGACTTCAGGAGGGGATCTCGCTCAAAGCTCTTTGTGAAAGTTTGAGACATTTGCACCTTGGCAAAGTGATATTCAGTGCGAGTAGGATGTTGAAAATCTTGATCATCTTGCAGATGGGAGATAGTGGAATTATGGCCACTTCACTGATAATTGAGAGGCTAATGTATTGCGCCCATGGTTCAAATCCCAACACTGCGACACTGGTGGATGTTAAACTCCATGAATAAATCTGGAAAATAAAAGCTATTTGATTTGTAAGATAACGTTAAACTGGTTTCAGTAAGAGATCGCATTATCCAGATCAAATAGGCAGCACCTAACCCCCATAAGGCTCATTAATGTGGTTTAGGGAAGGAAATCTGCCATCCTTACGCAGTCTGGATGTGACTCCAGACCCCACAGTAATGTGATTGACTCTTGACTGCCCTCTGAAGTGGACCAGTCAGTCATTCATTTCAAAAAGCTATTCGGGAAGGACAACGCCCGTGACCCAATCCATGAAATAATTCAAACAAATCTTCCGCGACAACGTCAGACTGGTCCAAAAATCCATGGCAACTAAAGCATTGGTCAGTAGGCCAGTGTGGATCCCAACCCCATTCCCAGGTCCAGGACTCACCCGTGCAGGCTTCTCTTGGGCCTTACAGCTGGGGGGACAATGGGAGAGCAACAAGTCATCAAGAACCTTACAGCCACATCAGGGGGAGGGGGAGGGGGAGGGGGGGGGTGGGGGGCGTGCAAGAGGGCGAGCATAGAGGCAAAGATGCCACTATGCCAACCATGGGGAGAAATAGACAGCAGTACATGACCTTATCAAGCACAAAGGGAGTTGGGAGTCCTAGTTCAGGATTCTCTTAAGGTTAATATGCAGATTCAGTTAGCAGTTAGGAAGGCATTCATTTCAAGAGGGCGAGAATACAAGAGCAGAGATGGTACTGCTGAGGCTGTGTCAAGCTGCATTTGGAATATTGAGAGTGGTTTTGGGCCCCGTATCTAAAGAAGGATGTACTAGTGTTGGAGGAGGTTTACCAGAATGATCCCAGGGATGAAGGAGTGGTTGAGGATTTGGGGTCTGTAATTGATGCAGTTTAGAAGGACAAGGGGGTGATCTGATTGAAACTTACAGAATACTGAGAGGCCTGGATAGAACGCACATGGAGAAGATGTTTCCACCAGTAGGAGAGACTAGGACCCGAGGGCACAGCCTCAGGGTGAAGGGGTGACCTTTAGAACTGAGATGAGGAGGAATTTCTTCAGCCAGAGAGATGTGAATCTGTGGAGCTCATTGCCACAGAAGGCTATGGAGGCCAAGTCATTGAGTATATTTAAGACAGAGAAATGGTTCTTGATTAGCAAGGGGATCAAGGATTATGGGACGAGGCAGGAGGACGGGCTTGAGAAACATATCAAAGGGCACAGCAGACCCGATGGGTGTGAATGGTCTAATTCTGCTCCTATACCTTATGATTTATTTCAGGTCAGTTTCCACATCCCAAATCCACACTTTGTCTCCAAATAGCAACAAGTAATGATCTATTTTGAAGGTCTGATGATGGTAGTTGTCATGTACACCTGAGGTCACCAGCAGCATCTTTGTTAATTTGTGATCCGCTGGCTCTCTTTCGATAGCAGAGAGCTTGGTCAGTGATCTATTAGGCCCTGAAATTTACATGCTGGAAGAACGTCCTCAATCGGTTAACAGATGGAGCCTCCTCTGGGACAATCTGGTAACAATCATCCAACAGGGCAAAGGTCACAAGATTAAGCTTCTGATATGGCACCAGGACCAGAAGGAAAGCTGCTCTGGTTTAGAATTTTACAGTGCAGCAGGCCGTTCAGCCCTTTGTGTGAACCAGGTATCTCCAAGTATTAGCCCCAACCTCCTCTGCTTTTCTCTCCCCTCGTAGATCTGCCATTCTTTTCTGTTCTGAAGCATCTATCCAATTCCACATTCCTGTTCAACCTACTTTCAGCAGGCTGTTCCAAATCACAACAATCTGCTTCGTGAAAATAATTCTCATTCTTTTTATTTAAAACAAAATTATCTGAAGTCTTGAGTGTCCTGGTTATTGACAATTCGAACTGTTGCTTCCTGTTGATTTGATCACAACCCCTTGCAATAGCGAAAGCCTCCAGTAACTCTACCCTTCATTTCTTCTACTTGAAACCAGTGATTTTCAATAAACTCGACATGTGGATCAATGAAAGTCTGAAAATAGTATGCCAGTCTTAAAGCCAAGGCCCCACAGGGAAGGTAGTCTCCTAATGGTGTTATCGTAAATCAAGAGACCCAGGTTAAGGTTCTGGGGACCTGGGTTCAAATCCCACCACGGCAGATGGTGGAATTCAAATTCCATCCCTGGAATTAATGATGAGCATGGAACCATTGTTGGATAAACCCATCTGGTTCCCGAATGCTCTTGCTTCAGGGAAGGAAATCTGGCCTATGCGTGACTCCAGACCCACAGCAATGTGGTTGGATGCCCTTTGAACCAGCTGGGCAAGCTGCTCAGTTGTAGCTTTCAGTTTAAAGTCTCACATGGATAGCAGTAGCTCACCATCACATTCACCACAACCCAGCCAGTCATACCCACATCCTACAAGTGAATTTTAGAAAAATAAAAGAAAAATGGAACCCTTCCTGTCCCTGAGGAAGTTACACAATTGCAACATCTCCCACACACAACCTGAGGCATGGAAAGCAGCAATGTAGTTTTATAAAGACAATTTAATGCCCCTGGCAATGCTGCTTAATATTGAAGCAAAGGTTTGTCTTTCAGAATATTATGACTTTATGACACACTCACATCCTTTCAAATAATTGGGCTTAATTTTATAATTTTTACACTTTTGCTTTGGCTGAATAATTTACCGATCTTTAATTTTTAGAAAAGGTGTAACATGGATTTGGAAAAGCAGCAAAAATATAGTCAGGGTCTTTTCCACAGGGTAGGGGAGTCCAAAACTAGACGGCATAGGTTTAAGGTGAGAGGGGAAAGATTTAAAAAGGACCCGAGGGGCAACATTTTCATGCAGTGGGCGGGCTCTTTAATCACAACATTAAAACAAGAGCAGGTCCAGCTTTACTCCAGGTCCCTTCACCAGAACTTCCTCATCCCCTCGCCTTATGTGGTCAAACCTCCTCTGTGCCCTCTCGAGATGACCCGAGATCAATCTTAAAAAGCAAAGAGTTGAAACCACAGCAAAAGGGAAGGTGCAGTCAGACTCCTGACTTGCGGTGGGGTCCTGCCCAAAGAGATCGCAATTCAGTAATTCCTAAAATTAATGCACTTGGAAGACGGACTTCAACATCAACCTGAGATGCATTTGAACCAGCCCTACCACAGTTGCATAAACCAGACAAAGTTTATTAAAAATGCACTTTTAATTATTTTGAATGACATTTACAGAGAGGGGACTATAAAACACATTGTACCTCTAACTGTACATTAAAAGCCAGTATCTAACAATCATTAGAGGCAAGTTATTCAAATTATACAGACAACAGCCACTGTGCATGAGTACAGCAAACACTGCTGTGGGAACAGACAGACAGTGGAGTTGTATTTCTGAGGTGAGGGAGTTCCTGTGTGTGGTGACAAGGGGAGAAGTGTGGGGTGACTTACAGGAGACTGGCGCATATCACAATCACACGGAACAAGATATTCTCTCATCACATATCCCTCTCGCACATGGACAACCCTGGGTTAATCTCAAAGCTGCTCTCGATGTTTCAGAGCGGGAGACTGGCAGGTTCTCACCCCCTGAGCAATTCTTCTGACACCTCCTCTCTGGAATGACCTCACCTTTGAGCAGAAAGCAACTACTATTGTCCTGCAGAAGAAGACCAGGAAGCTTTTTTTTTTAAAATTTGGGGAGTGTTGGGTGTGGGCCAGTAGTTGGTTAGGTGTTGATGAACCCACCTCTAAATCTCTTCCATTGGGGAAAAAAAAAAATGAACCGCTAGTTCCTCACAATTCCAAAGTTTTGTTCTTTGAAAGACCAACAAAAGTGCTTGAGGCCATTGAGGCTCTGCAAAATGGTCCCAGTTATCAGTTACCAGCTCAGCTGAGGAGGCACACCCATCACAGGGTCAGCTCTCTGGTGGTACCACAGTCTCCAGGACATGTTCTGCAGAGGGTCTCAACTCAGACCTGTTAAATAGAAACTGCTCACCCTTTCAGTCGCATGAACTGATTTCACTAACAAAAAAAGAACGCCTTCCTCACAAAACACAGGGAAAATGTTTAACATCTCTCGCCATTCAGCAACAAGATGCAGCAATCACACCTGAGGAACACTCCACCCGCACAGCCCCCCTGACCATCAAATACATCCAAATGTTAATGTTTGCGCGTGTACCCCATGCATGGGCACATCGGGATCACAGAGAGCAGCCTCCATTACTCATGCCTCTTCCTATTTACAAATCAACGGTTAATGGGTTAGACAACACCTCAAACTGGATAAAACCAGGGACTCTGGCTTCAGGGAGTGAAGCACAGCCCAGTGTTCTGAGGGCCTGTCACTCACCTCAAAGAGGCTGTTACAAAAACATTCCGAGAATGTCAGGAATTTGAACTGGGATACTCCTCATAATCTCCAGCTACTGACTGACAGGCTCTGCTGGATGGAAAATTGCTCGCTGAGGAGAGAGCACAGTTGGTAGCAGACAGGCTGGAGGGTCAAGGTTCGAGTGAATTGCATTGGAGCAGATAGTTGGGGGCAGGGAGGTGGGGTAGGGCAAGGGGGGAATGGGGAGATGGCTGGGGAAAGGGAGATGGGGGGAGGGGGGAAAAGATTGAAAGTGGGGGGAGAAACAGAGAGAGAGTGTGCATTGGAAAGCGAGTGCAGGAAAGCTGACACATGAACAGATCCAGTGGGTATACAGGACACCACCGCTGGTTTGGATGAAGGGTGGATACACAAGTGAAACCTCAGTGTCCTGATCATGTGGCACAGTGGTTAGCACTGCTGCCTCACAGCACCAGGGACTTGGGTTCGATTCCACCCTCGGGTGACTGTCTGTGTGGAGTTTGCACATTCTCCCTGTGTCTGTGTGGGTTTCCTCTGGGTGCTCCGGTTTCCTCCCACAGTCCAAAGATGTGCGGGTTAGGGTGGATTGGCCTTGGGAAATTGCCCTGTAGTGTCCAGGGATGTGCAGACTAGGTAGGTTAGCCATGGGAAGTATAGGGTTACAGGGATTGGGTAGGGGGTTGAGCCTGGGTAGGAGGGTCAGTGTAGATTTGATGGGCTGAATGGCTGCTTCCACACTGTAGGGATTCTATGATTTGATTATTCTATCAACAAGTCCACCATGATCCCCCTTTTTAGATAAAGGATCATTGAATCCTCCCACATTTGTGCACATATGTGCACGCACTTCTTTAAGGCCTGATTGGGAATATTTCCTCTATCCAAAGATGCCGAGGACAACTCTAGTGTTCCTACTGCACTACCTTGGCCAGGCCCGACTCAATATTAATCCAGAGACGAGCCTGGTGCCAGTAGAATCTACAATTGCCCTTAAAAAAAACACAAAAAAGGGAATGCTGGTTGCAGAGAATGGAAGAGTTTCAGGCACATAGATGGCATGATGGGCGCAGAGAAAAGCTCTCTCTCTCTCTGCTCTGTCCCAGTACCGTACCCCAACCTCACGGCATCCCCTGTGTCTCCACTTCCCACACGTATCCCCGGGGGACGTCGAGTGCTGATTCAGAAACGGTTTTGTCTCTGGGTCTGTATCGATTAGGAACCGATCCGAGCCGTTTCAGAATCCGAATCACTAGCTGGTCTTTAGCCATCAGGTCCTGGGCAGCACGCTTACCAACGTCCAACCTGGACAGTGCCCATGACCTTTTCAGGAAGGGACATGTTGGGACATTGTTTTCCCACCCCCACCATACCCAATGACCAGTTAGAAACACGATGAACCACGCACACCGATAGTGTCAATGGACAAGATTAACCTCAACATTAATCTTCCCCCCCCCCCCCCACCGTGCCCCAATTCTCTGAACCCTCAACACAGTTGGCACCAAAACTTCTGCCCTCTCCTGCCTGGACGGTGCCCATTCCCCACCACGGCTCCCCAGTATTACACCACAAATAAAAAAGGAACATCGAACTTTACAACAGACATTTTTTTTTCCTTATCAAGATTAAAAATAAGTGAAAGGTCTAAGGAAGACAGTAAACTGTAAGTCCAGCAACAAGCTCCTCGCTTTCCTGACGGAACAGTAGGCATCTCACTGGCAGAGTGAGGGTGCAGGTGGCAAAGTCTTCACGGTGATTCCATGGTGGCCATGAAAGGGTGAGGGGCGAGTGAAGTCAGTTGATGCTGTGGACGAAGAGAGTGGACCAGATGCACAGAGGTCGGCTCAGATCGAAGCCAACTCCTGCCAAAGACAGGGGGTTTGGGGGGGAACCTCACAGGAGAATACAGGGACAACCGCTGGATTCTTTTGAGGGCTTGGGCTGTGGGCTAGGTGGGCTCTCCAGCTCCTGGAATTTCCTGTTGGGAAGGAGACAGAAAGGAGTTAAGATATTCAACCATCAACACCATGGCAATAGAGGAAAGTGTCTGAGAACAGGAAAGTGGGGGGGGCCAGAGACTAGAGAAAGTGTATGAGGCAACGACTTAGTGATATTATCACTGGACTGTTAATCCAGAGAATCAGGTATGTTCTAGGGACTGCGGTTCAAATCCCGCCATGGCAGATGGTAGAGTCTTAATTAAATTAAAAATAAAATCTGGAATTAAGAATCTAATGATGACCATGAGTTTATTGACAAGGAAAAACCCAGCTGGTTCGCTAATATCCTTTAGGGAAGGAAACTGCCATCCTTACCTGGTCTGGCCTACATGTGACTCCAGACCCACAGCAATGTGGTTGACTCTTAACTGCCCTCTGGGCAATTAGGGATGGGCAATAAATGCTGGCCTGGCCAGTGATGCCCTCATCCTCTGAACAAATTAAAATATGAACATCAACATCAAAACTATCACAGTTCTGTATACTTTAGTGTGAGCAAACACAACACTCCCCACTCTGAAGGGGATCAAACCCATGCAAAAGCCCCCCTCCCCCCATAGCCTTCAGAAACATTTCACAGTTCACCATGCCTTTGGAGTGGGGCTGTTCTCATTAGAGCAGAGGGGTCGATTGGGGACATGATTGAGGTGTATAAAATCATGAGGGGCATAGATAGGGTAGGCAGGAAGGAACTTTTCCCCCTAATGGAGGGATCAATGACCAGGAGGGGCAGGTAAGGGACAGGAGGCTTAGAAGGAATGTGAGGAAACATTTTCTCATCCAGAGATTGTTGGGCATCTTGAATTTAATACCTGTAAGGGTGATGGAGGCAGAAATGCCTCGTAACATTTATGCAATATTTAGATGTGCACTTGCAATGCCAAGGCGTACAAGGCTATGGGCCAAGTGCTAGAAAATGGAATTAGGATCGTTCACAGCTGGTTGTTTTTGACTAACACAGACTCGATGGGCCAAAGGGCAGTGACTCCATAGCTGATCCACTGGAATACCGGGAGTTTTGGGAAGGCTTGAGCAACATCCGGATTTTCAAATGCCTCCAGAACCTCATCCTCCCACATCTCTTTAATCTCCTCCAGCCTCACAAAAAACTGCTCTCAATCGTAAAAGGACCGAGAATGAAAAGGTACAGATACAAGATCATTTGCAAAAAAGCAGATGTAATAGGTGAGAAAAAAAAATTAAAGTATATAATTTAAAACATTTTAAGTGTTTTTTTTAAAACATCACACAGCGTTAGTGTCTGGACCTCACTGCCTGGGCAGGTGGATGTTAAGTTTTATTGAGGCTTGCGAGAGGGCATTAAGGTGATTGTTTAAATGGAAACAATGTTCAGGATGGTGGGGAAATCCTCAGGCAGAGAGCCAGTGCAGACATGATGGGCCAAATAGCCTCTGTCTGCACTGTAAAAACCCTGCAATAGCACACCCCTCTTGTGTATTCCCAGTTTTAATCACTCCACCACTAGTGACCATCTTATCAACTGCTCGGGACCTAAACCTCTTTGGATCTCTCCCCTCCTTCAACACGTTTCAATAGCATGGATAGACTGGCCCAGACTTGATGGGCCGAAGGGCCTCTTGTTAAGGACCAGACCAAACCCCCTTTAAAGGAGATAGCCGAGACACAAACTTTTCTTTATTTAAAATGTAAGATGCTGTGTTTCAGATGTAAGTTGATTGGTTTCACTATTCAGCTTTAAGCAAAATACACTTTATTCTTACCCTGCAGTTAAGACACAAACAAAAGAAGGAAGAATTCATATAACTTTAACTCTATTGGAAAACCTAATGGGATAATTATTATTTAACTACTAAACAGCAACTGTTCCAATATAGTAACAACCCATAAACACAAGCAATAGAAGTTTATAAAATCATGAGGGGCATTGATAGGGTAAATAGACAAGGTTTTTTCCCCAGGGTAGGGGAGTCCAAAACTAGAGGGCATAGGTTGAAGGTAAGAGGGAAAGATTTCAAAGGGACCTAACGGGCAACTTTTTCCACACAGAGGGTGCTGCATGTATAGAATGAGCTGGCAGAGGAAGTGGGGGAGGCTGGTACAATTACAACATTCAAAAGGCATCTGGATGAATAGAGGGTTGAGGGGGATTTGGGACAAATGCTGGCAAATGGGACTAGATTAATTTAGGATATCTGGTTGGCATGGACAAGTTGGACTGAAGGGTCTGTTTCCATGCTGTATATCTGTATGACTCCACGACACCCTTGGCAAAGGCAAAGGCAAAGTCAGTAAAACAGATTGTCTCACGTGTAATTCTGGCAGCAGAGAGAGAACCCGAGGTGGTTTTAGCTGTAGCCGGGAGAAAATTCTGGTAGAGGGCAGGGGAGAGCACAGGATTCAAAACCCTCCAACAACTGCTGAAAGCTAAACTAAATATCCTGGTTCTGTGGGAGCCTGACTCCACCCATTCAGGCTGCTTCTATTGTTCTAACTTTTTTTGTTTAGGAAAAGCCCCAAGGCCTCACCAGCTGTTTACTTCATTGGCTTGGAACAGACAGTTCAATGCCTCGTAAAGCCACAGGATGGTCACACCCTTCTACGCTGGAATGACTCTAAAACGGACCCCCTTTGACCGAGCTTTTGGTCACCTCTCCCAATTTGGCACGTGCTAAAGATGCCAATGCAACGTATTGGCGGATGTCAAACATCTAACCAACCGGCAGTATAGTTTCTTCCCGAGAGACTGCAGAAAGAGCTCACCGTATTGCCCGCACCAGGCTGTGAAACGCATTGTCTACATTCAATCGGATTTTGGCTGATGCCTCCAAGTAGGTCACCTTCAGCTGCCTTGCAAGATTCTCAGCTTCCTCTTTCATTACCTATCGTCCAAGCACAGGACAGAGGGTTATCAACTAATTTACACCTCCCACTACCCACCCATCCGCCGGCCGCCCATGTCCGTCTCCCACCCTCCACCTTCCACCCCACTCACCTGTCGCTGGTGCTCAAGGTCCGCCTTGTTCCCGATGAGGATCATGGGAAATTCATCTCGGTCCTTGACTCGGAGAATCTGTCGGTGGAACTTACTGATTTCATCGAAACTGAAAAAGAAAAAGGAAGAATCTTATTTTTGAACTTCATCCTGGAAAAAGTGAAGGCACCACCGATGGACAGTCACCAGCTGCTGACTGGGCACTGACCAGACACCACTGCCAGGCAGGCGCTGACCAGGTACCACCAAAGGTCAGGCACTGACCACTGAATGGGCAGCGCTGAATGTGTGCCAACCGCTGACTGGGCAGGAATGATGGTGGACATTCCTAAACCACGTCCAGTTGGGGAGGAGAGAACATCCTGCAACAGCGAGGAATGTTCTCATTGGACACACTGGTGGTGTAGGTGGAGAAATCTGACATCAATTGAAGGAATAACTTTTCACAACCCGCCCTCCCCGCCGCCCCCTTCCCCCCCCCCACTCAACCAGCCCCCAGCACTTGATTGAAAAAGTGTTAGTTCATAGTTTTGGGTTTCATTAGGGGACAGATTGAAGGGCACGATCTCTCCACAAACCCAACTCTCTCCCTATCCAACATCACACACAGGCACAAGGTTGTGTGGCATTCACTCGACGGGGGGGCGGGGGGGGGGGGGGAGGGGGGGGGGGGGGGCGAGGGCGGTGGAGGAGCGAGGGCTGTCAACTCTTCAGAGCCAACTTTACGGTCTTGAGGAATTACAAGTTGACTTCCAGGCCAACTCCAAAATCAGCAACACCCTTTGGCAGGGAGAGGAATTATCAGGACATTGAGAAGAGAAAAAACAACTTTCTATTTCCCCCTCTCCTTTGTTACCAGCCCTGGTATGGAGAGATGGCAGCTGGGGTAGAAAGATCTCTTGATCGAATTAAGGACCATGCTGTTGAATGACGCATTGCACCAATGAGCAGGAGATAGCAAGAGAGTGTGGGTGGCCAACAGCAAGAGGGTGGGGGAAAGGGGCAATTGGAGGCATACCGTCTTGTGACAATACCTCCAGGAATGCAGCCAGCCAAAGCTGGGAACACAACTCAGAGGTTCCAGCTAATTTTTGTGTCATCAAAAACACAGGGTGTGGCCACTCCGTCAGTGCTTGCCCTTTACCCGAGCACTCAGCCCAACACACACCATTCTTGTTCAGCCCTTTCAGTTCATCATCCTCGGGTCCCAGTCTAACACCTTTTTGGAGTCAACCTCCTCCACCTTTTCTCACGCAGTGTATCGGATCCAGACAACTCCAACGAAAATACAAAACGCTTTCCTCATCACTATCACCACCTCCCACTGCCCTATAAAACAGGGCAACTGTAATGGATACTGTGCAGTGACCAACATAATGACTGGTCACGACATTGGGTCAATCCTCCTTGTACCACTATTATAAAAAAAGGAGGGTTTGAGTTATAAGGAGAGGCTGAATAGGCTGGGATTTTTTTGTTTTTTTAAAAACGCCCTGGGGCATAGGAGACTCAGGAGTGACCTTATGGAGCTTTACAAAATCATGACGGTCATAGATAAAGTGAAGAGCAAGGGTCTTTTCCTTAGGGCTGGGAAGTTCAAAACGAGGAGGACACAGTTTTAAGGTGAGAGCAGAAAGATTTAAAAAGGGAACTGAGGGGCAACTTGTTCCACACAGAGGGTGGTTCGTATGTGGAATGAGCTGCCAGAGGAAGTGGTAGATGCAGGTACAGTTACAACATTTGAAAGACATTTGGACAGGTACATGGATAGGAAAGGTTTAGAGGGACATGGGCCAAACACAGGCAAATGGGACTAGATTAGTTTAGAACATCTGACCAGCATGGATGAGTTGGACCGAAGGGTCTGTTTCCATACTGTATGACTCAATGAATGCCTTACCTTCCCCGATCATTGATAGCAAAGACAAGGAGAAAGCCTTCACCCGAACGCATATACTGTTCCCTCATTGCTCCAAACTCTTCTTGTCCAGCAGTGTCCAAAACTTAAAAGAAAAAAGGAGAGAGAGAGAGAGAGACAGAGCAGGAAAGTGAGGTGAGGGGGAAGGGGGAGGAGGACAGACATCAGTAATTAATGAGGTGAGCATCGAGAGATACTTTCTCATTAGAAAACTATTTAATACATGTAAGTCTGCAGGGTCCTTTTCACAAGTTTGCACAGCGTTTGCCAGCACAGGCAAGTTTCAGTCACAGTTTCCATAGTAACCAACTAAGGAAGTTACCCCATACTGACAGAATTAAAATTCTTTCATGGTTAAGCTATGCGTTGAGAGAGGAGGCACTAGGACCACACCAGAATCTTCCCTGATGACTAACAGCCTGTTGCTCCGTGGGGCCTACAGTCAAGTTCAAGCCTGACCCTCCGTTCAGTCCTAAGCCTCTCTTTCCCCCCCCCCCCCCACCGTCCCCTTTGATCCTCCCTCCAGTTTCTGAAACATCAGCTGGGAGGACAGAGAGAGGAAGAGAGGCAAGATAAAGAGCGAGAGGGAGAGAAGCTGGGAGAGAGAGAGAGAGAGAAGGCGATACGAGAGAGAGAGAGAGAGAAGGCAAGATAAAGAGAGAGACAGAGAGAGAGAGAGAGAGAGAGAGAGAAGGCAAGATAAAGAGACAGACAGACAGAAAGACAAAGAGAGATAGTGAGAGAAGGTGAGCATGAGCGAGATGGAAAGGGGCAGGGGGGGAGAGAGAGAGAGAGAAAAAAAGAGAATTAGACTTCTTTTCAAAAAGAAAGCAAGGTTCAGTACCCTGTTTCTCTCTCTTTCTCCTGCTGAGGGTGGTAACTGTTACAGGAATACAGGCTCCCCCCCCCACCATGGCCCAGGGGCACTCTGGTGTCTCCTGTGGGTGGTCATCCATTTCAAACAAGCCCAGACAGGAATGTGCTCATGGATTAGGAGGAAAGACTGACTGCATGCAAAAGATTTCCATTCAGAATCAGTCTCAGATTCAGGCCTTTGGAGAAATATATGTTTCCTTAAAGTAAAGAAATCTAGTTTATGGTTGAAATGCCCTCTGAAATTTATACCAAGACCACTTTCTTTCCATTGGCAAAGATAAAAACGATTAACTAAGTGTGCCCTGAAGTTATAGAATGTGTTCAAATCCTTCCAAAGCCACAGACTTCCCTATCTGTAATTTTAGCATTCCTCCAATTCTGGCCCCTTTCCCATCACGCACTTCCTTTGTTCCATCATCGGCCCCTGTACCTTCAGCTGTAGAGACCCTACACACTCCGGAATTTTCTCCCTAAACATCTTCGTGCCTCTCTCTCTACACCCCCCTCCCACTATTTTAAGTCTTTCCTTCAAACCTGCCCATTTGATCAACCTTATCACAGGCCATGGCCTCAGTTAGCTAATGCCAACATCATGGGTTCAATTCCTTCTGGACCAGGACTCCCAGGTTTTTGTCCCACCTACTCCAGAGGTGTTTCGTAACATCTCTGAACAGATCAGAAAAATATCTGTCACAAGCAATAGCCTTCCGCTGAAGGTCCTTGCGGTGGGGTGGGGGTGGGGGTTGTTTTGCAATCAATGCCAATTGTTGTTGTCATGGTCTAGCAAATGCCGGACACCAGATGGTGCTTGAGCAATTTGAGGTGGGCAGTTCTGCTGGAAAGGGCTACCTTCTGTGCACAGACTGGGAAAGTCATTCTGTTCCACAATATGTGTAACTTACTGTCCAACCTTGCTGCCCGGTCATCAATGACACATTGCTTGGTGTAGGAATCCTCAATGGTCGGGTCATAATCCGATACAAAATAAGACTGGAAGCAAAGAGGAGAAAGAGATCCACAGTTAAGCAATGAATGGATAAAGCCATATTAACAATAGATAAATCAAGCTTATAACAAGGGAGAAAAACCTCGAGATGTTAAATTCTATCCAGACTCTCTGGAACCTGGACATAGAAAATAGGTTCAGTAACAGGCCATTCGGGCCTGCACCACCATTCAATAGGATCACCGCTGATCATGCATTTTCAGTATCCCATTCCCACCCTCTCCCCATACCCCTTGATCCCTTTAGCCACAAGGGCCATGTCTAGCTCCCTCTTAAATATATCTAACGAACTGGCCCCAATATCTTTCTGTGGTAGAGACTGCCACAGCTTCACAACTCTGAATGAGGAAATTCTTCCTCATCTCAGTCCTGAATGGCTTACCCCTTATTTTTAGACTGTGACCCCTAGTTCTGGGCTTTCCTAACATTGGGGACGTTCTTCCCACATCGAGCCTGTCAGGTCCCATCAGGATTTTATATGTTTTTATATGAGATCCCCCCCATCATTCTTCTAAAATGGGCAATGAGTAAAAATCCACAAAAGTGATGATGGCTTTGAAAGGTGAGTGCCAGGTTAAAAATTCAATACGACAGCCTGACGTCAAGCACAGGGGTACTCAAAATTGCAACAGCAAAAGAATCCTGAAGAAAATAGCCAGGTTTTGAGCCATTTGGTCAGAACAGGAAGGCTACAGAGACCTCCTGGACAGGAGGAAGTAGGGGGACAGCAGAAAGGAGGAGGGGGTGCAATGCGGGTGGAAGCAGATGATGGACGTAGTGGTTGTAGATATGTGATCATCAGTGGTTGGGCAGGGAGAGGTAAACAGAGCAAGATAACGACACAATGAGAGATTGCCTGGAAGCAGCAGCTACAAGCAAGAGACAAGGAATAACAGCCCATTTTTTTCACCTGCACCTTTAAGGCAGACAATCACTCGGAACAGATTGAAGGCTCAGGTCAATAGCTACTTTGGCACACCAATACTGTGCCATGCTAATAGATATTCCAAACTTTATGAAAGATGGACTCTTGCGCTAATTACTTTGCTCCAGCAATTCTGATGTAGTCTCCCACCCCAGGCAAGATCTCCACTCTCGCTCGTGCAGACCTCTCTCAAACGCAATTATTTTTGAGATAGTTTTAATCAACTTGTTCGGATGTGCTTTGACACACATCTAAAGCAGGTGGGAATTGAATGCTTCTGGCTTAGAGGCAGGGGCATTACCACAGTGCCGTCCACCATCACTTCTGTAATCTATTATTTCATAGGAGTGGGCATCGCTGGTTAGACCAGCATTTATTGCCCATCCCTACTAGCCCAGAGGGGAGTTAAGAGGCAACCACATCGCTGAGAGTCTGGAGTCACATGTAGGCCAGACTGGGTAAGGGTAAGGACATGAATGTCACCAGCTGTTTATTGCCCATCCCCAGCTGTCCCCTTAAGCAACTAGTAGTGAGTTGCTTTCTTGTACCATTACAGTCCATGTGCTGTAGGTAGACCCACAATGCCCTTGGGGAAGGAAATTCCAGGATTTTGACCCAGGATGGTGAGTGGCTTAGAGGGAAACTTGCAAGTGGAGGTGTTCCCATGTATCTGCTGCCCTTGTCCTTCTAGATGGAATTGGTCATTGGTTTGGAAGGTGCTGTCTAAGGATCGTTGGCAAATTGATGTCCCCAGAACACCGTAGGTTATTATTCAGTGACATCACTGCTACGGCACCACCTCCCCTTAAACAGCCGTGGGAAGGCAGTTAACAGCCAATCACATACCAGCTGCTGGGGTGGGATTCGAACCCATGGCCTCTAGAACATTTGCCTGGTCCTTTGGATTATGAACCCATTGACACTGCCACTGGGGCACCTTATACAAGAGGCTGCAGAATAATAAAGGGTCATAAAAAGACCCTTACATTTTTATTATGGCTTCAGAGCTCAAGATGTCCCAGACAGGTTTACAACTTCCAACGTACTGTGTGTGAACATAAGAAATAGGAGGAGCAGGCCCCCTCGAGCCTGCTCCGCCATTCAATAAGATCCTTTTCATGGACTCAGCTCCACTTACCCACCCACTCACCATAACCTTAATTCCTTTACTGTTCAAAAATCTATCTTTCCCTGAAAAACATTAAGTGAGGAAGCCCTTAGCTGCTTCATTGGACACTGATTCCCAACCCTTTGGATGAGGAAGTTCCTCCTCAATCCGCTCCCCCTTATTTTGAGGCTATGCCCCCTAGTTCTGGTTTCACCCGCCAGTGGTAACATCCTCCCTGCTTCTATCTTGTCTATTCCCTTCATAATTTTATATGTTTCTATAAGATCCCCCCTTCATTCTTCTAAATTTCAATGAGTAATATTTTCAATGAGTAATGAGTCTACTCAATCTCTCCTCATAAGGGAATACTCTCAACTATGTGGCTGTAGTACAGGGAAGTATACAGTGCACAGTGAGATCCCACAGACAGCATCATGAGCAGGAGCGGTTATCTACTTATTCAATAAAGATGAAGGGTCATCAGCTTGAAATGTTAACTGTTTTTCTCTCCACAGGTGCTGCCAGATATTCCAAATTTCTCCAGCACCTTCGCTTACATTTCAGATTTCTATAACATTTTAAGTTACGTTATTAAAAAGTGCCTTCGGTCAGTAGTTAAAATGCTGCGCAGCACAGCGGGGAGAACAGTGTATGGTGCCCTGCACTCTTTACCCAAAAGCCAGCTCCTCCGACAGTGCGGCACTCCATCAGCACCTGCAGCGGGACGACCAGCTGAGAACGTGCGTGTGAACCTACAGAACGGAGCTCAAACTCCTGACCTTTTGGACTTGGTGGGGGAGTAAGGCTGACCACTGAGCTGCAGCTAATACCCAGTCTGTAAATGATGAGTCTCTCACTCTCACCAGCCCCACGCAGAAACCCATGTGCAAATGCGCCAAATTAAGAGCGAGACTTTTGTAAGTGTTTAATGACAACTATATGAGCAGGCATTCCTAACACAGCCTTGCTGTTAACTAAATGACTATTAATAATACTGTGAAAACCTAAATATCACTTTCACATTTTCCAATCTCAGTCCCTTTGCCGACTCATTTCCTGGCTGCGGCTCATTGCTAGGGTGGAGATGCTGGAAGAAGCTGATGACCAGTGTGAGGTACAAACATGCTCTACACATTGCGAAGTGGAGCAGAACCATCTTCGTCCCCAGGAATGTGCGACAATCACAGCCTACAATTTAGGAATTTGCTCAAAGTAAAGGGAAAACTGTTTCCATTATCCAAATGGCTCAGCTGACCTGGAGTGAGAAGCGGAGCTTTTAAACAGCTAAAAGACCCATCAGCTTATCATGACACTACCTGTCATCAAGCATCCATCTATTCTCATTCCATTTTCCAGCACTTTGCCCGTAGCCTTGCATGCTACAATCATTTCAAGTCTTTACCTAAATATGGGTTCCCACATCTACCAGCCTTTCACCTCTGGGTGAATTAAGTTCTCCACAAATCCTGCTCCTTATCCAGAGACTATGCCCTTTGGTTCCTGATTTCTCTGCAAAAGGGGAATATTTCTCTGTCTATGCCCACTCGGAAGTGTGTACGCCCCAATCAGAGTCTAAGGAAAACCACCCCAGCCCCTCTAAGCTCTCTTTGTTGCTAAATCACTCCAGCCCAGGCTAAAGACTGGCACTGCCACCAAGGCCAGCTTTTTGACCTCAGGCACCCTTCACTGGGGCACAGCATTGCTTTGTTGGTTGGACACACTTGCAGGCCAGACCAAGTAAGGATGGCAGATTTCCTTCCTTACCCCTGGGTCTTCGGCCAGCTGGGGGGTTTACAAAGATTTCACAGACCCCACCCCACCCCCATTACTGAGGCTAGCTTTCAATTCCACCAGCTGCCACTGAGAGAATTGGACTAGAACTCACCCTGATGGACAGGATTTAGGGAGTCCAGTGGAGAGTTACTCCCTGTAGGATTCCTAGCCTCTGACCTACTTTTGCAGTCACAGTCAGTCCAGTCCAGTTCAGTTTCTGGTCGATGGTAACCTCTCGGATGTCAATAGTAGGGGAATTCAGTGATGGTACGTTAACTCCTTTGTTTAAGAGCTTGAATTTTAAACCAGTGGCACATAGGTATTGATCTCTTTTTGTGAAGAAGTTTAATAATTACCTTGGACAGTTGCCTTGGAACCATGATTTCAAAACAAAATTTGCCCCCTGGAGTATTAATGCAAGTTTGTTTATGTTGTGGTGATTTACAACGAGAGAGAGAAAAGACCTTGCTTTTGGGTTTAGAATAAGCAAGGATTGATTTTTGACTTAGAAAGGACCAAGATTAGAAAATATTTTGGTAGTAGGAAGGAGATGGGACTGAATTCAGATGTCAGTATAGTCTCTCCTAAGAAGGAAATTGTTCAAAGTGGTGAAGGGGATTGTTTACCTCAAGGAGTAGTTTAGCTTGTGAACATTTCAGCTCAGCAGTATATAAATAACCAATGCAGATTTCTAACCAAAGCTGACAGAGTCTAAGAGCTCAGTTGTGAGAGGATTCAAGAGAAAGGTCAGCTGTCAGGACAAGAACAGGGGAAGAAACAGTTAAGTCAAACATACTAGTTTAATTTTAAACAAGGGAAATTTCTCTAGTTTGTTGAGTAACTGTGAGCAATGGTGTGAGGGTGTAGATGTATGTGTTTTGTAATCTTTAATACTGTGCTATATTTAAAATGGCTTGGTTTGCTTTGTTCTATTTTTATTTCTTTTGTGCAATAAACTTTTGCTTTTTTTTTAAAACACCAAATCTGCAGCATGGTGTGCTTATCTCCACGTTAGGTTGAAAAAAAGATTATCCATCTTGTGGGGTGGCACAGTGGCTAGCTCTGCTGCCTCACAGTGCCAGGGTCCCAGGTTTGATTCCACCCTTGGGCGACTGTCTGTGTGGAGTTTGCACATTCTCCCCTTGTCTGCGTGGGTTTCCTCCGGGTGCTCCGGTTTC